CCATGGTCCATTTTATTTGTTTAGATTAGACCAATTTTTAACAACTTTAATTTTCATTTCTTTTCTTAGTGAAAAACAACTACTCTACTCCAAACGATGGTCCAAATTTTAGTTGGAGCAATTCACACGTCATAATAATGGTGCAATTCATGCCTTGTATTTTGTCTGTCGGAATCTTCTATTTTTAGGCCTTCATTGCTTTATGCACGCCCTCAAAGGCTCAAAGAACTATTTTTTATGATTGTAAAAGTATGAATTGATCAACAATCAACTCATATGATATTGTTGATGTCAAAACTACTAAAATATCTTACCATAAACAACGAGAGGTCAAGACTCAAGAGTTCTACTTTGTATTTATAAATGCTTTGATTATAGACATTGAAATATATTACGCTCATATAATTAGTTATACAATTAAGAAGAGGAAAAAATATTTATCAAATTTTAAACTTAACTAGCCCACTATATACGATCGTTAATTATTTCATCAGAAAGACTTGCTAAGATGGACCAAATATTTAAAGGTAATTTTATACATGTTTTCATAATAAGAAATTTTTTAACAATAATTAAACATGGCATAACCACACTAACTAACTAAGTCATCAGAGAGAATGCATCCGAAAGAGGAGGTACTTGAATGATGTTCATCCTGGAATTTTGACAGACTCCGTATAGGTTAACCAATCCGCAGCTCTATTTCTCTCCCTATATACACATGCGTTAAGGTTACATCCCAATCATTACTTTTTTATCATGCGTTAAATTTTTTTTATGCTTAGCTTATAAATGGTCCAAACTTTTATCTTCTCCTCTATGGAACTAATGGAAGTATGATAGCCTGGACTTTTTTCTTTTTTGTTTTCTTGATAAGAAGCATAGACTCATTTTCAGTATTCTATCAAAAATTTGATGATGTTCACTCAATTACTGAATTACATACCAATCTATATATCAATATGATATCACACATTTTTATCATAAATAAATTTTGTACCCATGTAGTTAAAAGTGTCAAAACTGATCTGACTCTAAACAATCCTACCTAACCTAATCTAGTATTTGATATATATATATATATGTCTATACAAACAAAATAATTTAGCATGACTCATGTTTAAAATGTCAACTCAAACAACTCGACAGATGATTTGAATTGACACCTCTACATACTTAACTTTAGAATCACATGGTACTTTGAAGTATCATATATTTGGTTGCTAAACAGCTTTAGTAGTGGAAGTATGACATAATATACATCATTTAAAACTTAAATTTTTTTAATTTTTGTGCTTAGTATTTATGTATGTTCCATATTAGGTTATGGAATAAAGCTTTATCTATCAAAGATCACTAATATTAGACAAATTTTCTCAAACCAAAATGGAACCAAAAAGAAACATATTACATAAAAAATAGAACACAAACTTTCATATGTGGTTGGCCACACCGTACCGTGTAACTAACCATTATAGGGGTTACTTTGTTAGTGCTATAGGGGTTACTCACTCAGTCTAGAGTTACTAAGTTGGTCAGGGGTTACTCGGTCATGGGTTACTTGGTCGGTTAGGGGTTACTCGGTTGGTCAGGGGTTACTCACTCGATCAAGGGTTACTAAGTCGGTCAAGGGTTATTCGATCAGGGTCGTTACTCACTCGGTCAGGGGTTATTTACTCAGTCAAGGGTTACTAAGTCGGTTAGGGGTTACTTGGTCGGTCAGAGGTTACTCGGTCGGTCAAGGATTACTTGTCGATTAGAGGTTACTTGATGTGTGTCAGCTGACCATACGATATGACTAACCGCATACAAAAAGTTGCTGAAAATAGAAACATTCCAACAAATAGATGATGAATTTGGAGGTAGCCGACTAGCCGTATATCACTAGATTAGGCAGTCACTCTAAATTATCGACTCAATCCAAGTGTTAGATTTTATATTTTAGTAGACTAACAAGTATGAGTTATATATTTGTGATGATGCGTGAATATCGTGGCACCATATATATCGGGCTTGGTACATATTTTATTAGCTCCTTGTTTAATTGTAAAGAATTCTCTTTGAAAAGTCACCGTCCATATAAAAAACTGTAAAAGTATTTCATATGTCTCAATTTACTTTCATGATTTCTTTTTCCATTAATTCAAAATTTCCCTGTACCCCTTTTCTTACTTTTCCTTCATCTAAGTCGGTCCTACGATATTTCACCTATATATTTCATTTTCCCATTTAATTTCACTTTAATTAGAAATATGCTAACTTAATGTGGAACAAGAAATACCTATATGAGAGATGAGACCGTCCCTTCATCACTTTTCTAACAAAAAATATATAATAATAAAAATTTAAAAATAAACTTAATTGAGATGATAGGTGAGGCAGTTAAGATGATAATAAGTTAGAACCGAAGTTGTGGTTTCTACTTACAAATATAAAGAGTGAATCTATATATATATTCTCAATAACACTAGATTCACTTACAAATCAGAATAGGACACATAAATGTGGATGATTAAAAAGTGGAGTGGTTAATTAATGGTTTTGTTGATGATGGCAAAAATAGCATACTTTTAGGACATATAATTTTTTTAAAAAAAATAGTAAGGGAGACCCTGACTAGACCTTAACTCTCACGGTTTTTTTAATTCAGTATTTGCGGGCCTGATACTTGGGAGTAGAGGGAAAGGTAAGGGAATTCCTACTCTAATACCATCACTTGGCAAGATTCGAACCCTAAACCTCTAAGATGTAAGGTAAGAGTCTTACCAAGTGAGCCAACACTTAGTTGATACTTTTAAGACATGTACTATTGTGAAAAAAAGGACATGTATTATTAATTTGGACATACATCATACATGATTATGTGTTGCTACTATATGACATAAGCACGAATGAAATATTTTAATATGACAAAGCTAGGTTAGGTGGACCTTCACATTTATACACTTCCTCAGTAACCTCCTATTCATTATCCTCATAATCAAACTAATTAAGCGAGATTATTGTGTAATTAGTACTGTTAATAATAGAAGAAAAAGATGGAAAACGAAGTTTGTATAGGAGAATCAAGAAGAGAGCTCCTTTCTCCTTTGCCAGACGTAGAATCAGTGGTTATAACTGAGTTTAACGATGATGTGTTGCCATCATGGAGACTCAGTATAAGCGAGTTTCAACTTCCCAAACAAACTCATCCTTCCTTTCATCCCTTACTATGCCTTAATCCTACTCGTCGTAAGTCTCTTTTCCTTTCCTTCTAAAAAAAATTTACATGATTTGTTTTTATAAGCTTTTTGTACGTGTATTTTAGTTTTAATTTTTCAATACGTATTGGATTAACAGTATTCAATGGTTCCAAAAAATTAGTTCACACATGCCTTGCATCTAATTGGTTAGTTGTTGGATCCACTAATCATTCTAATAGTTGCACTCATTATGGTTCATTCCCTTCGTTTATAGACCATTTTGTAAATTGTGGTCTAAGCATGATCCACATCTTAATTATGTGACATGTTTCCTTTAAATAAAACTACATGACCCTTTTCAAGTCTTGACCTACCTTTTTACATTGTTCCATGACCCTCACCTTAAGCTTCGTGCAAATAAATTCATACTCTCGACTTGTGCTCACAGATTAGTTTAATTTTGTATCAATTTGACTTATTGTCATCCTTAAAACCGTTTAGACATTTATATGTAAAATTTCTATTTTTAACATAAATAAAAACTTTAATGGAGTTCATTATTCTCCAATTCCTATCTACACTCAATCAAGTTAAAGAAATGAAAATTATGTCTTTATATTAGTATCAATTAAGACCTATAGAGTAAATTTTCAGAAATAAGAAGTTTATTGTTATAATTACAAATAGACATCAAAAGATTGACACACCTGTCAAATTTCTCACTCAATCAAATACTTCGTATTGAATTATACTCAAAGTTGAATAGTTTGAAACTAACCCAACCAATTTTACTAGAAAATTTAATGTAACTAGAGTTGATCATTTGGTAAAGCTCTAATATTATGATCTAAATTAAACCAGACCAAAATAACCTTCAAGTTAAATCTTGTTTTTATTACCCGACCTAAACCAATATGACCAAATTGAATAAGATAATTAAGAATAATTAAATGAATTTAATTAAAAAGACCCATTCATCACTTCTATTTTAGTGCCTCCATAAAGTCCACAAGTTATAGATGAATAGAAAACTACATTATTGGAACTTTCCTTATCAACAGCAAGGATCATGCACATTACTACGTTAGTAGTCATTGGTGCATTGTTGCTGCTATATATTGTTTACTTGCGTTATTATTCTTCACACTTCATTTTCTGCTCCAATACTTAACTCGATTAATTTAAACAATTAATCTTCGATTGGATTTTAATTGATCTTCACAACAATCTAATAAATTTTTTTCCATTATATAATTATCTCCAGATAGTTTAATTTTTGTTTCCAGCCAATGGGTAGCAAGAATTGCCATTACATAAGTTGAGCCAATCACCAAATAGAAAATAAAAAAAATGCAAGATCAAGTAAATATTTCCTAGCACCAACGACTGTATGTACCTGGTAGGAAACAATTAATTAAGTTACCATTTTGCTCATTAGCTCACAAGGTACAAACAGTAGATAAAGAAATATTGTTGGTTTATATACTTTTATTACGGAGTATTATATATAAAAGTACAACCAATTATACCTAGAAAATTAAATTAGTACTCGTATAATAGATTGTTTCAGGAGTTATTCTTTCATTTATTTAGGCCAACATCAATTTTATTCAGTCCTGTTTTTTTTTTTTTTTTTTTTTTTCATATAAGTAGTTTATAAAATAAATAAAAAAGTACTCAGTAATAATATTTTTTACCCAATAATGGTCCAACAATAATGCCAAAACAATCAAAACAAATAGATCCTCTACGAAGCAAGTGTTACCTTTGAAGACCAGGAGGGCCTGACGATTCTAATCTTTACTCTTGACAGGATAATGGTTCAACCCTAATGCAGGAGCCCAATTATAATGCCATTTATATAGAGAAGATATACAACATACAAAAGATCTATTTTGAATGAAAAGTTTGTTCCTTTACATATATTATATTTTTGTTACGCACCTAATAATTCTAGACTTAGTTATTCTATCAAAGTTCCCTGATGAAAAAAAAAAAAAAAAAAAAAATTCTCTTAAGTCTTTAAGGATATAAAAGAAAATTTGCCAATTGTAGCGATTTAAAGTGTATAGTTTGTAAATTGAAGACATTTAAAAAGAAAATTACAAATTGCAGCCCAAAAGTACTAATAACTTGTTAATTAAATTCAAAAAATGTATTGATTTGTGTGCAACTATTTTTTTTGTCGCAAAAACGAGGTACTTAAGTTAATTTTTTTGCCAATTTCGAGCTCAATTGTTAATGACTAAAATGGCTCCAAAAATCTTAACGGAACATTTTTTGACACACAAAACAAGAAAAAATTAGATTGGGTGGCAACTTATAAGTTATTAGTAGTTTTGAGCTGTAATTTGCAATTTTTTAAATGACTGCAATTTGTAAAATATAAACTTTAAATGAATGTAATTGACAAATTTTCCAGATATAAATAATCACGAGTATAAAAAATTCAAACAGAAGAACAAAAAGTGTTTAAAGTAGAAAATTAGAATATATAATAAATGAATATAATATAACCAAATAAATAGGTGACATATTAGGTAGTTGATCGCGTAAAGCATCACCCACAAATTTGATTCAATCCCCCAAGTGGCCAAGTCATCACATACATTACACTCAGATATTCCCCGACTCCTAACATGTCGATTTAAATCAAATTGATAAGGTATCTATCAAATACGAGTGAGATTACCATCCCTAGCCACCACCCGATATCCACAAGAAAGAATCCAACCCTACGATACGATGCATTCACAAGTCAATTTATGAAAGAGGGAGAATCAAAATGTTGTTACCATATAATTAGGAGGCATACAATTCACAACTTTATTTGCGCACGAAGCTTCGTTGTTACGTGTAACTATCATTGGTATATCAATATCTTTCACTCAACACATACATACACACACTAACCAAAAAGTAAAGACGTTAAGTTTCCTGGTTTACCTATTTTAGTCTCTTTACTGTCGTATCGTATGAGAAAAAGTTTGTGCAACTCTTAACAACAATAACAATAATAATATGGCGGAAGCCGAGTTAGACGACGCCGAGTCATGGCGACTCAACCTCGACTCGTTCCGACTGCCGGAAACTCGTCCTCCTTCCATCTCTCGTTTTGGCCGCCTTTTCCGTACACGCAGTGAGCCAACCCTTTTTATTTTTTCCATTTATTACAATTTGCATGCTATTTTATGTTTATTATTTTTAAATTGTTAGGAAGATTGTCATTGCATAATTTCTTTTTAGGTATAATGTGATTGTATATGTGTGGAATGTGGATATTTTTTCATGTAAAGTTGTACAAAAAACCTAAGATGCTTTATAGGGGTTTGTTAATTTTAGTAATTTTACTGTTCAGCTTTAATTTGTTTAATTCTCATTGTTTAAGAGATGTGTATATGTTCGACTTGTTACGATCATACCTTGATGCCTTGATTGAATAATTCTAATTTGTACTCGTAATTAATTGTGGTATATGTTGTTCCAAACCCTTATTATTATGTACGACTTTATTTGTTTGGAATTAGTTATCACATAACTAATATTGAAAATTATATCGGTGTGGAAGGAATCACTACTAAGAGGTCTTATTTGTGATGAGTCGAAAACGGCTTGATTGGATTGTGCCCCCTATTCTGAGCTATTGGATGGTGCCCCTTTTTCCAAGCTCTACAAAGTAACTTAATTAAATGGAGAGGAATTCGTTCCCAAATAATCGCTACACTTTTGTTTGTGAGTAGTGTTTCTAAATACTTACAACACTTGTGTTTGTAATTAGTATTAATTTTGGGAAGATTTTTGGGGGCACCTGAAAATGAATAGGTTAATGTGTAAGCGAGTTAATGGGAGTATTTATAGTTAATTAGGGGGAGAAAGATTAATTTAAAAATTAGCTCAAGTGGATACGTGAGAGAGCAACAATAATAAATTATTGTAAGTAGAGTTACTTGGAGAGACACAAAAACATAATAGTAGTCTATAGTAACATAATAGAAAGTTTGCAAGTATTCAAAATAGACGAAAGAGACAAGTGTCGTAAGTATTTAGGAACTTATGAGGTATTTTATTAGGTGTTAGAGCACATAGGTGGGAGGATGTGCAACCTTTGGATCTTCATTATAGACAAAATAGAAGCTTATATGCCTTTGGATTAGTATTGTCTTGGACATGGTCAATTCTCCTATTATTGAATATAGAAGCCTTCTTAGGCTTATTAAATAGAAGGTCATATGTAGGAGAGCCATTTCGATACCCGAACCAAAGTGTAGTTAATAGTGTAATCTAAAGTAGTAATATGATTACAAAAAATAGACAGAGGAAGTATATCACTATACCATAGATAGAATTATCTTCTCATTTCCTTATTCAATGTCTAATTGAATAAGGAAAATGTGAATCAGGTTGTCATAAACTGCATCATATGAATATATATGATATAGTCTTTGACAACTTGATCTATGTCTTGTATTTGACTATGTAAGACTTGGATTTTTTAAGTAGCACAAAATCAATTAAACACAAGGATCTGTCAATCTTTTTTCTTCCTATATTAGTGAATATATAAGCTCTCGTCTGTCTTCTACATATAACTTTGCATTAAATGAAATGTGATCCAACCATCAAGCATCTCTACTTTCAATCATAATGCATTCAACAGTACAATTACATGCTCTAAATACCTAGGAGACCATTTCAATTTGTCCAAGCTAAGTGAGTTGGATCACATTCAATCAAACAATTTCATTTTTGTGAGGATTAGTAAGGATCAGCAACAGCATAGCAATTTGAATGAATGGATTTGACAGCATGAAGTTAACAAAGGGAACAAAATGAGGCCAATGTCATGGTTTTGTGACTTTGTTCCAATATCTTTTCTTATATTTTTGGCAGGGAGACAAGGAAAAGTTGCCGATTATTACAAGAAGCAGGAAAGACTGTTAGAAGGCTTCAACGAGATGGAAAGCATTAATGAAACAGGTTTCTTCCCTGGAAGTTTGACAGAGGTCAGTCACAATTTTCCTTACTTTGCAGAAGATTTTTCCTGTTTCTTAGTCCTAGAATTTATTGGAGGGTTAAGTCGGGTAAAAGACAAGGTTCCTATATGAATTTACAGAGGTGGGAAAAGTTCAACAGAAACTGCCTTTGGTACTTGATATAGCAGGTCGGTTGAAGAGGATTGTCTTATAGAAAATGTATTGCATTTAAGTAACACAAATGCTTAATGATAGTAGTTAGCCTTAAACAACTGCATTACCCCAAGCAAAATCATTTACATTGAAAATTCACCGTTGATGGGTTTGGGAAGGTTTAGAAGTACTCCATCTTATGGGTTTAGATTACCCTATAGATTAGTCATGTTCAGCACTGATGAGAGCGAGCATATTCTGAAATGAAAATGGTGCAAAATTTAATAAAAAAAACAAAAGGTCATGTTGAGAAAGCATAGCGCTTATTAGATATGAATATATGATTATATGAGTGAGTATTGGACTATAAAAATAACGTTGCAATGTTTAGTGGACTATGAAATGAAGTTTTGTATTACTGTGAGATTAGGATCCTACTGATTATGCAGCCGTGAATTTAATTTGTCTTATATTTTTAACTTTTATCCCTTTGGGATCTGTTAGTTATGTTCTTGTATGAACTTCTCAATTCCTTTCAATTACATCATGAACCTGAATCTAGAACATGAGCAGCACGGCTTTTGAGCAGTACCTTTATACTTAAAAATGCATCATATGCTTTTGAGCAGTACCTTTATACTTTCAATTTTTATTCTTCAGGATGAGATGAAGCAGCTTGCAAAAAGTGAGCGACTGGCAATTAATATATCGAATGCAGCCAATGTTGTTCTTTTCCTAGCCAAGATATATGCATCCGTAGAAAGTAGATCATTGGCAGTCATTGCATCAACGTTGGATTCACTTCTTGATCTTTTGTCGGGATTTATTTTGTGGTTTACTTCTCATGCCATGAGAAAACCAAATCAATATTACTATCCGATTGGGAAGAAAAGGATGCAACCAGTGGTATGTTCTTATTTCTTATGCATTATTCAACAAATATGATTTACATCAACTTCAACAAGGATATTTTCTGCTTCATCTTATATGACTCCTTTGTATAACGTGTAATACATCAGCTTACTTTATCAATTGTATTTTTATGCCTAGCTTCAAGTAACTCTTGATGAACATTTTATGCTCGATAACTATTAACCTACCCACAGTTTGTCAATTACTGTTTTCGGATGGCATCTCCTATACCTTTACGTATATCCATGTGTATTTCTTGCTTTTGATAAGTTTGATTTCATCTCTTGTGGATGATTCAGGGAATTATAGTTTTTGCATCGGTTATGGCTACGTTAGGACTACAAATACTGCTGGAGTCTGCTCGTGACCTCGTTACTAAGGTATGTTGATTCTATTTATTGTCTGATATACAAACTTCCTTATTGTCATGAATAAACTCTATTCACAAGATTTGAAAAGAATGAACTGCTTAAATCAACTTTCTTCTCTAGGGTGTTTAATTTCCGAAACCTTACTAAATGATATCTAGGCAAAAGTAACCATCAATTGTTTTGAAAGTAGCAGAGCAATTTGGTCATTAAGTGTGAAGTATGGAGTATTATATTAATGTCTACAGTCCACTTCAGAAGAGGGTCATAATCATTCTTGTGATCTTGTCTGCATACCCATGGTATCTTGCCTCAGTGTATACCCTGCCTATCCTCAGAGTAGGTCCCTTAACCTTCACTTCGATACAATATGTACTTCCTCTGTTCCTTATTAGCATTGCATACAATAGTGATATGGAGATCAAGAAGAGTAAAATCGTAGAGAAAAAATAGTGGTTGAGCTGGTATAGGGTTAAATATGGAGAAAAACTGGAGAAAATGGTTACTGTACTATTATGTAGCACTTAATATGGGACTTCCCAACGAGGTACTTAAAGGGACGAAGAGAGTATCATGGAAAACTGCATCCATGTTGCATCTGGCCACATTAAATCGAGCATTTGAGTGCATTCAGAATTTGTAGTTTTAGTGCAATTTATTAACTTACATGTATTGTGTTATCTAGAGGCTTATTTGTTTGCCATTCTTGCAGACGGGGCCTAAAATGAATCACACACAAGAAATGTGGATGATCGGGATTATGGTCTCTGTAACAGTAGTGAAGTTTTGTCTTATGATCTACTGTCGTAGATTTAAAAATGAGATTGTTCGTGCCTATGCTCAAGATCATTTCTTTGATGTTGTTACAAACTCTATTGGTCTGGCGACTGCAGTTCTTGCTGTTCGATTCTTTTGGTGGATTGATCCAACCGGTGCCATAATTGTAAGTTAATTTAACACCACCACTTTTTCTTTCTGCACAACTAATTGCTACAAAATGGTAGTTAGAGCTAGCAATTTCTAACCTGGGAGTCTGGCGCAACCCGACCAAAAATCAGTACTAAACATCTGAGGAAAAACCAACCTAACACGAGCATTTTGTATATAATGCAATTTGATTATTTAAACACAACAAGAAATTAAACATGAGTACAGATTATATGATCCACTTAGCCAAATTACCAACTGAGAAAAAGCGAGTAAATTATCAATATTCTACTTTATGCTTTCTTACTGAAAAGACTTTACTATTTCTTGGAACTTTTCTGCAGATTGCATTGTACACTATCAGTACATGGGCAAGAACTGTCATTGAGAATGTCTGGTCACTGATCGGAAGGACTGCACCACCAGAGTTCCTAGCCAAGTTAACATATCTTATATGGAATCATAATGAGGAGATAAAGCACATTGACACCGTACGAGCATACACGTTTGGTACACATTACTTTGCAGAGGTTGACATTGTGCTGCCGGAAGATATGCTTCTGAACCAAGCACATAACATCGGTGAGACACTCCAAGAGAAACTCGAGCAGCTACCTGATGTAGAGCGAGCATTTGTGCATATCGATTTTGAGTTCACCCACCGACCAGAGCACAAAGCAAAAGTTTGAGGATCCTAGAAAAAGACTTATTAAAAAAGCTAGGAATTTTATCAAGTACTATCAGATGAATTTTTCCATGTTTATAGGTAATACTGTGCACGGTTTTATATACTGTAATAATAATAATAATATCAGTTGTTGGAAAATTCCTTTCGATCTTTATCTGAGCTACTAGCCTACTAGTACATGGTCACCAATTCACCAAGGGATATCTGTACATTAGTTATCTTGAATTCCTGATATGTGATGACTGATTCATTTGGAAGAAAAAACCAAATGCAAGATTTTTGTGATTTATGTTTTTTTTTTTAGGAAATTTTAGAAAATAACACCACAAATTTCTCAAAAAATGGATTATAACACCACATAATCTCAAACTTTTATTATAATACCACAAAAAAAAAACCCAAAAATTGGATTTCACCACCATCTAATGGATTTTTGGATGGAATCCGTTAATAGGGCCCACTCTGGACACGTGTCAATAAGACATTGGTTAAAAAAAAGGATCAATAAAAAGGAAAATTAAAAAAAACAGAAAAAAAACCTAAATTCTAACCTAGTCCAGCCCCACCACCGGTAATTTGGACCTCCACTGCCAACAGCCTAACTCCAGTCGCCGGAACCCCCTACCCCTTGGCGAAAATGATGCAAAGGAGGTTGGCCTACAATTCCAGCGAGCTCAATCATTTTGTTCACTGGTTTTTAGGTGATGCCATTGAAAATCCACTCTCGGCGGCTTCTCTGTCTACCGGTGGCACCTTCCGCCCTACTGGGATGATAGAGTTTGGGGAGGTTCCTATTGACGCGTCTTTCTCTCCTATTCTATGCCCGGCCGGGGCTGAGAATGTGCATTTTCGTCCTCTCATGAATGTCCAGGCTGATGAATCCCTTTTTGTGGACAATCTGCTGCAGGGTGGCACTTTAGCATACCATCTTACTCAGGGTATCAGGCTGCCTGTTGACTCCACCAGCAGTTCTGTCAGTCTCCCGGCTGCCACTTCTTGCCATGACCTCTAGAAGGTTTATTTTCTTTATTTCTATTCTTCCATCCTTTATCGCTCTTCTATCTTTATTACTTATCGTTTTTTGTTCTTTGTTATTTTGCAACTCACCAAGTCTGTTGGGGACTTGGCTAATGCCTTGCTTTCTGTGGAGAGGGAATATCAAAATCAGAGTGCTTCTTTGGCTGAGAAGGACAAGGAGATTGAGCGGGTATGCTCTGAGAAGGCTGCATGAGCTAGTGATCTGGGTCCCCAGAAAGAGAAAGCGGATGCCCTTCAACTTCAGCTGGAGGAGTTCCAGCCCCTTAGGAGAAAACTGGAGGATTGTCAGAGGGAGCTGGATTCTACCCAGACCAAGGTGCAATAATTGGAGGCCGAGGTGGCTTGGTTGCAGGCTGAACAGGATGCTAAGCTTAGTACAATTATGAAGGAAGCACTCAAATCCTTTGCCCTTTCGCCTGTTTTTGCCAAGCTGCTCATTGATCGTCATGATAGGGTTTAGGAGGCTGCAACCCGTTCTGTGAGTCATTTGTATGGGCCCAATGACGAGCAGCAAGCTCGCTTTTAGACCCTTTGGGCTATGGTTAACAACGATGGGGATGCTGAGCAGTATAACTTCCCTGCTGATCATCCTCATGTTATTCATTGCAAGGTCATCCCCAACCATGATGTGCTGAACTTTGTTGTGCCCTTATGCCCCGATGTTTCTGCCGCCATTGGAGTTGAGACTCTAGCTGATGAGCAGTAAAGGTTTTGGCGGCTACCCCCCCCCCCCATACAACAGTGGTTCTTCTAAGTTTCTATCAGCTAGGTCTATAGTTACTAGGTAGTATTGTATGTTTATCTTTGGGGTGTATAGCCGCCAAAGATTCTATTATATGTGTGTTTGTACTTAATACTTTTTATTTCTCCCCTGCTGGGCCTATCCAGCTTAACTTGGTTTCTTTTGTACGTATTTGCTGGATATCTACTAGCTCAGCTTGATTTCCTTATTCTTTTCTTTCCTTTTTTTTTTTTTTGTAGCTGGATTTTTCTTCACCTTGGTGGGTGAGGGTTCAGCTTGAATATATGCATGTACCTCGGTAATTTTGCTGTTGCTTTGTCTTTGTTGTTGCTTTGTCTCTTTTGAGAGTCTTGATGGGTTATGGTATAGCGGTCTTAAGACTTAACTCAGCACTTCCCTCCCTCTGCCACCCCTTCGTCCTTCCAGATGAAATCACATAGGTCGGGTTTCCACACTGAATAGGGAATGTATATCCGTCTTGGTTTGCTTCCTGTCTACACGTTCTTCCTAATGTTTCTTACTCTGTTTGCTGCTTATACGCTTTTCATTTTCCTCTTGCTTGATGTGCTTAGTGGGGACTTATGAACCTAGGAGTCTGGCGCAACTCGACCAAAAATCAGTACTAAACAACTGAGGAAAAACCAACCTAACACGAGCATTTTGTATATAATGCAATTTAATTATTTGAACACAACAGGAAATTAAACATGAGTACAAATTATCTGATCCACTTAGCCAAATTACCAACTGAGAAAAAGTGAGTAAATTATCAATATTCTACTTTATGCTTTCTTACTGAAAAGACTTTACTATTTCTTGGAACTTTTCTGCAGATTGCATTGTACACTATCAGTACATGGGCAAGAACTGTCATTGAGAATGTCTGGTCGCTGATCGGAAGGACTGCACCACCAGAGTTCCTAGCCAAGTTAACATATCTTATATGGAATCATAATGAGGAGATAAAGCACATTGACACCGTACGAGCATACACGTTTGGTACACATTACTTTGCAGAGGTTGACATTGTGCTGCCGGAAGATATGCTTCTGAACCAAGCACATAACATCGGTGAGACACTCCAAGAGAAACTCGAGCAGCTACCTGATGTAGAGCGAGCATTTGTGCACATCGATTTTGAGTTCACTCACCAACCAGAGCACAAAGCAAAAGTTTGAGGATCTTAGAAAAAGACTTTTAAAAAAAGCTAGGAATTTTATCAAGTACTATCAGATGTATTTTTCCATGTTTATAGGTAATACATGTGCACGGTTTTATATACTGTAATAATAATAATAATATCAGTTGTTGGAAAATTCCTTTCGATCTTTATCTGAGCTACTAGCCTACTAGTACATGGTCACCAATTCACCAAGGGATATCTGTACATTAGTTATCCTGAATTCCTGATATGTAATGACTGATTCATTTGGATGAAAAAACCAAATGCAAGATTTTTGTGATTTATGTTTTTTTTTAGAAAATTTTAGAAATTAACACCACAAATTTCTTAAAAAATGGATTATAACACCACATAAGCTCAAACTTTTATTATAATACCACAAAAAAAAACCCAAATAATTGATTTCACCACCATCTAATGGATTTTTGGATGGAAACCGTTAATAGGGCCCACTCTGGACACGTGTCAATAACACATTGGTTTAAAAAAAGGATCAATAAAAATAAAAAGAAAAAAAAACCTAAATCCTAACCTAGCCCAGCCCCACCACCGGTAATTTGGACCCCCACCGCCAACAGCCTAACTCCAGTCGCCGGAACCCTCTACCCCTTGGCGAAAATGATGCAATGGAGGTTTGGACCCACAATTCCAGCGAGCTCAATCATTTTGTTCTCCAGTTTTTAGGTGATGCCATTGAAAATCCACTCTCGGCGGCTTCTCTGTCTGCCGGTGGCACCTTCCGCCCTACTGAGATGATAGAGTTTAGGGAGGATCCTATTGACGCGTCTTTCTCTCCTATTCTATGCCCGGCCGGGGCTGAGAATGCGCATTTCCGTCCTCTCATGAATGTCCGGGCTGATGAATCCCTTTTTGCGGACAATCCGCTGCAGGGTGGCACTTTAGCATATCGTCTTACTCAGGGTATCAGGCTGCCTGTTGACTCCACCAGCAGTACTGTCAGTCTCCCGGCTGCCACTTCTTGCCATGACCTCTAGAAGGTTTATTTTCTTTATTTTTATTCTTCCATCCTTTGTCGCTCTTCTATCTTTATTACTTATTGTTCTTTATTCTTTGTTATTTTGCAACTCACCAAGTCTGTTGGGGACTTGGCTAATGCCTTGCTTTCTGTGGAGAGGGAATATCAAAATCAAAGTGCTTCTTTGGCTGAGAAGGACAAGGAGATTGAGCGGGTATGCTCTGAGAAGGCTGCATGAGCTAGTGATCTGGGTCCCCAGAAAGAGAAAGCGGATGCCCTTCAACATCAGCTGGAGGAGTTCCAGCCCCTTAGGAGAAAACTGGAGGATTGTCATAGGGAGCTGGATTCTACCCAGACCAAGGTGCAATCATTGGAGGCCGAGGTGGCTTGGTTGCAGGCTGAACATGATGCTAAGCTTAGTACAATTATGAAGGAAGCACTCAAATCCTTTGCCCTTTCGCCTGTTTTTTGCCAAGCTGCTCATTGATCGTCATGATAGGGTTTAGGAGGCTGCAACCCGTTCTGTGAGTCATTTGTATGGGCCCAATGACGAGCAGCAAGCTTGCTTTTAGACCCTTTGGGCTATGGTTAACAACGATGGGGATGCTGAGCAGTATAACTTCCCTGCTGATCATCCTCATGTTGTTCATTGCAAGGTCATCCCCAACCATGATGTGCTGAACTTTGTTGTGCCCTTATGCCCCGATGTTTCTGCCGCCATTGGAGTTGAGACTCTAGCTGGTGAGCAGTAAAGGTTTTGGCGGCTACCCCCCCCCCCCCCATACAACAGTGGTTCTTCTAAGTTTCTATCAGCTAGGTCTATAGTTACTAGGTAGTATTGTATGTTTATCTTTGGGGTGTATAGCTGCCAAAGATTCTATTATATGTGTGTTTGTACTTAATACTTTTTATTTCTCCCCTGCTGGGCCTATCCAGATTAACTTGGTTTCTTTTGTACGTATTTGCTGGATATCTACTAGCTCAGCTTGGTTTCCTTATTCTTTTCTTTCCTTTTTTTTTAGCTGGATTTTTCTTCACCTTGGTGGGTGAGGGTTCAGCTTGAATATATGCATGTACCTTAGTAATTTTGTTGTTGCTTTGTCTTTGTTGTTGCTTTGCCTCTTTTGAGAGTCTTGATGGGTTATGGTATAGCGGTCTTAAGCCTTAACTCAGCACTTCCCTCCCTCTGCTACCCCTTCGTTCTTCCAGATGAAATCACATAGGTCGGGTTTCCACACTGAATAGGGAATGTATATCCGTCTTGGTTTGCTTCCTGTCTACGCGTTCTTCCTAATGTTTCTTACTCTATTTGCTGCTTATACGGTTTTCATTTTCCTCTTGCTTGA